TATATATATATATATATATATATATATATATATCACACCCACACCTACACACAGACACACACACACACACACACACACACACACACACACACACACACATATATATATATATATATATATAATATATATATATATATATATATATATATATATATACACCCACACACCCACACCTACACACAGACACCCACACACCCACACCCACACCCACACACACACACACACTTATATTAATGTATGTTTAAGCACACACACACACACACACACACACACACACACACACACACACACACACACACACATATATATATATATATATATATATATATATTATATATATATATATATATATATATATATGACACCCACACACCCACACCTACACACAGACACACCCACACACCCACACACACACACACACACACTTATATTAATGTATGTTTAAGCACACACACACACACACACACACACACACACACACACACACACACACACACACACACACACACACACACACACACACACACACACACACACACATGTATATATATATATATATATATATGTCTATATATATATATATATATAGTATATATATATATATTATATATATATATATGTATATATATATATATATATATATATATATTATATATATATATATAATATATATATTTATATATATTATATATTCATACCTATAGAGTTTGTTCCGAAGAAAATGATGAAACAGCCTCGCCGGTCCCGCCACCCCGCCCGCCCGGCGAATCATGACGAAACCTCATATGCCTTCGAGGTGCCTGTCCGTGCCGCCAGCCACGTGTATCAGTTTGAATGATATTCTCTATGAAATTTTAAAGAAACAAATGATGACGAAAAGATTAATCGTCATAAACTGACTCCATAAAGTACGGCACGGCACTGTACCTTCGCAAGAGAGCGGCACTGAAACATGGGCAACGCACTGGCGTCGAGGCCTTTCCTTGAAATGACTGTTTGTGTTGCTGTATATGCTATCCATGTTAATCAAATTGGTGAATAAATTGTTACTAGTCTGATTAATTTTGCTATCTCATTTTTGTTGCTGTTATTATCAAAGTCGGATCTTCAGCAGCCCCAGTTACCCCCAAACTCTTAAAAATCTGAAAATTGTATTAGTAATAATTATGGTGATAAAAGTTATAACAACAATTACGATAATAGTGATAACTATGATGGTGATAATGATAACAGTAATGATAATGATAATAACAGTAATGATAATGATGATAACAATAATGATAGTAATATTGGTAATGATAACGACAAAAATACTAATAATGATAAAAAAGATAATAATTTTAATAATAATGATAATGATAATAATAATGATTGAAAATATAATGATAATAATTATTGTTATTATTACTATTGTCATTACTGGTGAAATATCAACAATACAGAAACCTAGTTTTTGTTATCATTATTATTATCATTATGATGGTTTTGATGCGCTTGAGGATGATTATTGTTTTTGTTATCATCCTTATTGTTATTGTTATTATCATCATTATTATTATTATTATTTCTATTGTCGCTGTTGGTCCTCACTGAAGGCTACCTGGCGCCAGAGCCTGTTGCAGGTCAAGCAAATGCAGTTACAGATCCTTCAAGAGCAACTACAAATACAACAGCAGCAAGTGAGGGTCACGGAGTCGGAGCCCGTCACCGAACACACCAGGTACAGGCCCTGGTGCACCACGCACAGGAGAACGTGACCCGAAGCAAGCGCCCGGCGACGTGCTGAAGGTGTATTTGTGATACATGGCACTGGTGAACCATGTACGATACCATGCCTTCTTCAGTATCGCAACTTCTGTAGATTATTGTGGTCCATGTTTGTGTAATTATACAACTATGTATATGAAGGTGTGATACCTTCAGGGAGGTCCTTCTACCTCTTTGAGTATCCCGGGCGGGGGAGGAATGTAGAAATGTCTCGTGAACACACCTGATTGACCTTTACATAAGCTTCTGTTTATGATTAGTAATAGATGATTGATAGGTCCTCTTAGACGAGTGGCCTCAGCGGGTCAACGTAGGTCAGTCCTGCAGGTGTTCAGTCATATATGCAAACTAAGAGGAAGTAGCCGACGCTCCTACCTGTGCATAAAGAAAGACCTGATAGTCATTCTCACTCAGAGGCGGGGCCGCACACAGGTGAAGGCCCGGGCGAAGTCAGTCTTCGCACATCTTACTTACTCACTCCTCATTCAGGCATACGAGCCAAATGTAGGTAAAGGGTGAAGCTAGACTTTTCAAACCTCACTGAACTGAACTGAATCTCAGTCAGGGGAGTCACTGAGCCAGGGTCAGACAGTCAGAGAAGAGACACATTATCATTATTATTATCTTTATTATCATTATTGTTATTATTATTAGATATCATTGTTATTATCATTATTATTATTATTATTATTATCATCAATTATTATTATTATCATCAATTATCATTATTATCATCATCATTATGATTGTCACTATTATTGATTTTATCAGTATTATCATTTCTATAATCATTGTCATAATTATTATTAAAATTTTCATCATTATCATTATCATCAGTTAGTATCATCATCATTATAGTCATAATCATCATTATGATTAGAGAAGAGACACATTATCATTATTATTTTTATTATCATTATTGTCATTATTGTTATTATTATTATTTTTATTATCATTATTATTATTATTATTATTATTATTATCATCAATTATTATTATCCTCATTACCATTATGATTGTCACTATTATTGGTTTTATCATTATTATCATTTCTATAATCATTGTCATAATTATTATTAAAATTTTCCTCATTATCATCATCAATTAGTATCATCATCATTATAGTCACAATCATCATTATGATTATGATCAATATTAATATTATTATAATAATTACTATTATTATTGTTTTTGTTGCTGTTATTATTATCATTACTGTTAGCTATTGTTATTATTATCATTGTTATTACTAACATTATTATTGTTTTCATCATTATTATTACTATTGCGGTTATTATTATTATTATTATTATTGATACTAGCATTATTATCATTTTTATTATTGCTATTATCAATATCATTATTATTATCATCATATCATTATTATCATTACTATTATTGTTATTATCATCATCGTCATTATTATTATTATCATAATTATTATTATCATCATCATTATTATTACCATTGTTATCATTATCATTATCATAATAATAATAATTGTTATTATTATTATGATGATTATCATTATTATCGCTATCATTATCACTATTGTTATTATTATCATTATTGTTATCATTATCATTATTATAATGATAATTATTATTATCATGATAATTATTATTATCATGATAATTATTATTATTATCATGATCATAATTATCATTATTATCGTTATCATTATAACTTTTTTATTATCATACCATTGTTATTATTATTATCATTATTGTTATCATTATCATTATTATTATTATTATCATCTTTATTATTATTATCATTATTATTATCATTAGTAGTAGTAGCAGTATTACCATTTTCATTATTATTATTGCTATTTTTATCATTACCATTATTGTTGTTGTTGTCATTGTCATTATTATTGTTATTGTCATTATAATTATCACTATTATAATTAGCGATACTGATATTGTTGGTGTTGTCATCATACCAATTATTATCCTTATTGGTATTAATGCCATTACCATCATTTTTATTATCATTATTAATATCGTTATTATAATATTGGTTATAATTATTATTATTGTTGTTATTGTCATTATCATTACGATCATTATTATTACCACTTTTTTAATCTGATTATCATTAACATTATTATTATCATTAATGCCATTATCATTGGCAACAATAATATTACTGCTATTATCATTATAATCATTATTATTATCATCATCCTCATTGATATTAATGCCATTACTATTTTTATTTTCATTAATATCATCATCGCCATCATCATCATTATCATGATAATTGATATAGAAACAGCATTAACAAAATAACAACAGCAAAAACAGTAACAGTAGCAACAACACTGATACTAGTGATAACAATAATGATAGTTTTCGTGAATTCTAGAGCCCAAAGAGATTGATAAAACATACAGCCTGTGGGTCTGCCTTCGCCTTCGTAAATTCTCCACAGCTGTCGCGAAACAAGTCTCAGCGCATGTGTTTGCTGCAACATCTGTGGCCTGTATGATAATGAGACATTAGACATCGAGAGAAAATAGTCGAGGATTATATGATTCTATAGATGTTTACGTCACATTCGAAACTAGCAGTGTGTTCGTATCAGACTATGCAATGCTCACGTGTTTTCGTTACGAATACAACTATCTTCACTTATTAATGTGCGTTCGTCATGAATGACTCACTCCATATAACACGTTGGCATTACTCACAGTAAGACCTTATCGCTCTTGCCTCCCACGCACGCGTCTTTTAAACATCATGTTTTTGTCTGTTAAACGCCACACGATTGTTCTTAAATGCGAGAGAGCTCTTTCTTTACACTGGTCGTCGTCACTGGCTGATCCGTCTCTCAGCCTCTTTGTCAGTTTCTTTCTTTGTCGGGCGCTCTCGTCTCCTTTCTGCGCTGTGTAAGCACGCTTGCCTGTCTTCTTATTGCCTGCTTGTCTTTTTTTCTGTTTGCTTGTCTGTGTTATTGTTAGTCTCTCTCTCTCTTTCACCTTTCCCTGGCTTTTTACAGGGTATATAAACTGCTCTTCAAATTAGATTATCTCTTTCACTGTCTATCTCTCTGTCTCTGTCTTTCTTTCTTTCTTTCTCTGTCTCTCTCTCCGTCATTGTATTTTAATAAATGTGGTAACCTTCTATTTTGCCACACTCTAGGTAAGCCTGTACTTGAACACAAAGACCGCGCGTGATTTTGGATTACTGCGTTGGTTGCTAAGCTCAGACATGGTGAAATATGTTTTAACGCAAATAAGTTTTGGAATCCTGTTAGAATGCTTTATCTTTCAATTTATCACATCCGATAACCATTCTTGACATTTCTTCCATACTGACGGGAAACTCCGACATGTAAAACAGGACAGAAATAGACCAATTTCTCATGCTATAAATTCTATTCTGCTCGTACTTGCTCAGGACCACAAGGGTCGGTTATCAAGTCATAATATTTGGTCTCAAAGACGAACATCCACGCAATAAGTAATGCGATTGCATCAGCGCATCTTGCCGGTCTGTTGTACTTTTGCCAGGTCATCCTTCTTCCTCTCCCGCGTGTCTGGGACCACGACCTCCAGGTTAAGATTCACCGTTGATAAATCAGGACAAACCGGCGATAGAAACCCATGTAAAGGACATCGTGGAACCTCGCCAGTTAAGAAGGCATGCGTGTCGATGAGGTCTAGGTGTATGCGTGTGTTCTGAACTTCAGTATGAGATAATTTTGTTTCGGTTTGTTTTGATAAAAAATTCAGACTTTTTATACTTACATATCAGCTTGTTGAAGAATGGAATTGCTTAGAAAATAAAAGGTTGTACATAAAAATGTCAATGCATCCTTTTCTTTCATAAACAGGATGCTGTTGAAACTAATTTGTGAATTCCCTGTCTCGCTTTTCGCTCGGTTGCTAAGCTCATTTTAAGCTCGTTAGATGCATATGTGCTTTAACTGACTCTTTTCTTTCAAGAGATGGCACATTTTATTCTAAACTTATTGCTGTTCATTGTTCACGTAACCCATTATCTGCACTGAATTTATGAAGAAAAGCGTGTAAAGATCAAAGATATTTATACTCATTATGAACGATATATAGTTAGTAGGAATAAATGTATAAAAGTATGAAAAAGTGCCAACGGAAACATGAAATTTAGATATCCTGATTTCCGTGTCATATTCACATACCTCCTCGCCGATTAATTCAGACTATAAAATACACGAAATAGTGATGATAGGTTGATAAGTGAGTAATAGTGATTATAATGACCATCATCACATCATTATCAATACAATGGAACGGGAACCAAGATGGCGGACGGACGGTGGGTTGACCTGTAGAACATGTCGCGCCTTATATATACTCCTGCCATTCATATAATCTCTTATTTTCTTCGTGATATCTATCGTGGTTTTGATATCTGATTTTCGATACTTTCATCCCCGGTATTCTACCGCGGATAAAATGGTATGGCATGATCGAGGTTCACGCCATTACCCTGTTTCTGGAGAGCCTTTGTGGTGGCTCTTCAGTAAACTTGTCCCTTTCCCAGGTGTGCTAATCCATGGGTGGCCCCCTCTCCCCTCTCGTTGAGGCGGCCTTGCCCACTGACTAGCTCCCCATGAAGGATAAACACCCAGAAAGAGGTGTCATCCTCGAAACATATAACCTCATGATAGTGACATGACTCATGGTTCATGGCACTATCTTACCTTCTGTTGAGCCTTTTTGTGGCTTATCAGAATACTGCCAACGCAGAGGTGTCATCCTCTTTCACAAACCATGAAAGACCCCCCTAGTCACACTAGTCCTTGGGTGGCCCCCTCTCCCTCTCGTTGAGGCGGCCCATCCCACTGACTGGCTTACTTGAAGGGGGCTATAGTTGAAATAGAGGTGTCATCCTCTCACTGAACAAACCTGATCTCATTTTCCTAGGCTGGATGGTCACTCTTCCTTCTGCTGAGGCAGCCTCCCCCACTGACTGACCCCTAGGAAGAACTGAGCAATCCTTCTAATGATGCTAATCCAGGAGGGTTTGCATCCCCTTTGGTATCTCCCCAGAGGTTTTATGACCTACCCATGCGTTTGTCGTGCATGGCAGCCCTGTGCGCTGAGGAGACGGGGGTCCTGGAGGTTGAGCGATGCCGTGAATGAGTACGCCCTGCAACACACCTCTTTGGTCCACTATTCCAGCAAGACGGGCGGTCTGATCCCGGCCCGATCAATCGGCTGGTCTCCTTAGGGAGGCTAGGGTCAAGCAGTCACTGTATTGTTTGGCCTCACACGGGTATTGTGAGCGCTGTACCAAAACAACCAGTGGTTACGTATTCCCTCTCGCCAACCCTGTAGCTGTTAGAGAATGTGCTCTAACACACAGCTTCCCCTTGTTGTGCTCCGTGGTGAGTGGGGACGCGAGAGTTTGAATGTACTAGCTAATCATATGACAAACAAATATAATAAAAAAAACCCTCGGACTGACCTAAAGGACAATGACCACAGCAAAGGAATGACCACGGCAGTCACCCTGAAGCCCTAC